TCCTGTTGTTGTAGGCAATGCTGGGTTTTGTCCTCGATTTTTGTCTCCCCCTCTCCCTCCCGTCTTTTCCGCCAGCATTTTTAAATTTCCCTCTACCGATTATCAACCTGCGAACTTGTTGCTAGCTCTTTGCCACTGAATGTTTATCGTGCTCCCTTCCTTGTCGTGCGATCACTTTGTCTTGGATCGCAGGCTCTTTTCACCGTGCACCTCGCAGTTTCTCTCGGCTGCGCATGTCCATGTATGATTGGCCATGTCTGCACATCTTTTTTCGCTCTGTCAGTACTTATTGGACGACATCTTGAAGTTACTTGCCACCAATGGCTCTCTTAATCCCTCTTAATATCATTAAGTTCCCTTAATCGATTGGTTGCGAGACCTCCCTCTAAGTCTGTTCCCGCCCTCAGCTCGTCTATGTGTTGCCGCCTTTGCCGACCTGCTCCCTGTCTGAAGCGCAATTCAGCGAAGTTGAATTCTGCATGGCGCTTGTTATTCTGCCACTTTACCTACTCCATAAGTGGATGAATTTCGTGGGACAGAAAACGGTTAAACGCGTCTCCGATTGAGTACGGCTGAGACCGGAGAAAGGCTGCGTCCTGTTGTTCGAAGTTTTGGTGATGCCTATTTTGTCCTGGTTAACATCAATAGACCAGTTTATGCCACAGACACTTGATCATCAATACAGCTGCAGCGCAGAATTTTAGGGAACTGGTGTGGGCCACTTTTAACTAACGAGGACGTCTCTTTGGTGGATAGTTGCCACTAAAACTGTAGCTCTAAATGCCATTTTACTACGAGGCTGGAAGCAGTTTAATATGTGGTCTTCAGTTTAAACTCGCCAACGTCTGCAGCCCTTGTAACTTTTTAAGGCGTCGGTGTCTGTGTTGCAGATAGTGCCACTTTTAACACTAAAAAAGCATTTTGGCCTCATATCTGCCTCATATCTCTTGGCGACTCATTTGAGTGAGTACGCTTATTAAGCTTTTGGCGTCTTCCGTGCTTCTAAACCAACGTTCGCTGTTCGCTGGTAGTAAGTGCTAAAGGTCAAAACAGTGGCCATGCCTGTCTTTTCACACCAGAGCAAGTCTGATGTTATACCTGAACGCCTCGAAGCACGTGTGGCTATGGTCTCAGTATAGGGACCATGGTGTTAGTTTTAGCTTTCCTTGTGTTCCGGGTTTCTGTTTTCTTCATCAAAAGACATTCCCCATTGTAGCCGCCGCAGGAAGCAAAACTGATATCAGGATTTTCAAAAAAACGGCTTCCCTTCTCAGCGTCCCCAAATTTCCGTCCTTATGCAAAGGACTGGCTGGGCCACACCATCTAGTTCTATGCGTTTTCGACTCGTGTGACCAACTGACTTTTTTACAGAAGCATACGCCCTATCAATTAACAAATTAAGTCTCCTTTGTTGCAGAATTTGGAATTTCAGGTTTGCTGGACAAACGCATCTACTGTCCTATTAGAACGCAACAAGACGTTGACTGTTCCATGCAGGATTGCTCTGTATGCTAGGTCATGCTGTGAGAGTTAACAAACGTGCTAGAGACAGGCTAATATTCGCGAACATTGACGTGAACAACGGCCCTGTTCT